AGGTCCCCCCCGGGGATTTTGGGTGGGGGGTGCGTGGCTGTGAGGTGCGCGTTTGGTGCGTGGGGGTTGGGGAGCCGGGTGTGTCTGGGGGCTCGGTGTGGGGCTGGGGGGCAGCCGGGGCGTGGGGCAAGGTGCAGGGGTAACGGTGGTGCTGGAGCCTCACAGCCTCACCGGGGGCTTGGGATGTTCCACCCTCGGTCACAGCGAGCGTGTCTGGGCTGCGTGGGCTCTCACCTCTGGCTTGGGGGGATAGAGCTGGTGGCTGGGCTTTCTCCTGCCCCTACTGCCTTTACCTGCAGCACTAGCTGTTCCTTGAGTTGCTCTTTTCATACATAGGGGTGCAGACTACTGGGCTCAGATGTGCTCTGGAAAGGGGACAGATGATGAGCAGGAGAGCTCTGAAGGAGCCTTGTGCATGGAGCAAACCCCAAGTCATCCTCTCCTCCAAGACCAAAAACCTAAAGAGTTGTTTCTCTGAAGGCCTGTTTTATCCACAGGAGAGGTTGTGAGGCTGAAGGGGTGTTTGTCTCCCACAGTAAAACGTGGATGGAGGTGTTGGTCTGTTCAGTTAACACCACACAGTCCCGGGAGCCAGTGCTCCAGTCCTCGCAGTGAGTTGCAATGAAGCAATGAATGGGCTCAATTGCAATGAAGCAATTGGTCCATTCCCGCATTTAGCCAAACCTTTTTCTCCCCTCTCCCAAAGGAGAAGTGTACCCTGCCTGGGCATCTCTCCAAGCCTTGCATCTGCCCAGGGAAGCACCTGGAAATGTGCTTTTGATGAAAGAGATGAATAAGTATCTCATGTGGCTGTGGTTACATGTGCCACAAAGTCTCTGCCAGGAACAAACTGCTACTTAAATGTATCCTGTGGAAGTGCTGCTGGCTGGGCAAAGCCAGTGGAAGTCAAGCTTTGTCCATTTTGGTGGACATCAGGAGTTGGGACCTGCAAAGAAAAGGCTGAGTGGCCCCTGCAGAACAAGAGCAGCATTTCTTAATGAAAAAACCCCACTTTTCCACCCTCTTCTTTTTAGCCAATCTTGGTTTGTTCTACGCCATTAATTCATTCCTGATAATTTGCAGGGAGAACAGAAGATGAGGAAGAGACCAGCCCTCTTTCTTGACAGGTCTTCCTTCATCTTGAGCCCTCAGTCTCCGTATCTACAGCATGACCAAAATGGTCCTGAGTTCCTATGAGGCTTCATGTGAAATGGAAAAAAAAGTGTTGATGTCAAGGGTGTTGAGAAATATCCAGGGCCTTACTGAAAATTCCTGGGTTGGTCTTCAGAGCTGTGGGTAAGAGGATGAGCTGGGTCTTGACAGGTTAGGCAGGTGAAGTGTGGCTTGCCAGTCCTGGCTCCCCAAGATCTGCATGAAACGTCTAGTGTATCCAGATGGAAAAGCACTTAGTTGTGAAAAAGGCTGTATGTTGGGGAATATCTTTGAAGTCTGTAGGCGTAAAACAAGGACTCAGCCCAGCTCCTGCCCCGTTTGCAAAAACTGAATCTCCATCAGCTGCTGTCCTGACTTCGTCCCTGTAAAACTTGGGGATGTTTTTTTTACTGGAAGCTCCTGGAGTGCCATGGACCTGCCTGAGATACAAGTACAATGAAACTGTATCGACTCCTCCCTCCGCCATTTAGCATTTCATCCCCAGCTGGGAGCTCTTGTGCTGTCCTGCCTGAAGCCGGCAGAAGACTGGCAGCCCTATCCTCGCTGTTTCAGCAGGGTGGTGAGGATGGTGGTGGGAGGATGTGGAGGATGAGGTTGCACACAGCATGATTGCTTCTCTTGATCTGAAGAGGAAACCTGAACTCTTGGTTTTACTGAGCAGGGTGGCTAAAGCCTCCCTCTTGGACATGTAGAATTTGGGCACAGTTGGTGGAGCTGCTGCTCCTCTGACCATCTAGAGAAAAGATGAGCACTAGCCAGTTCCTTGCCGTTCCTCAGGAACACGAATGAGTGTGGTCAGGGGTATCAGACCTCTCAGTGATACTTTGTAACCCATCTAAGTGAAAAATACTCTATTTTTATTTCAAACATGACTCTATTTGTTTTAACCTACAAGTAGCTGAATCCTAAGGGTACCCTGTTAAGTAGGTCTTGCTTAACAGCATCTGTGGAGCACTTTGAGCTGCTGTGCCCAGCTGGGAGAGGACTGAGAAAGGTTGCAGGGAGCTGGAGTGTGGCTCCATCTGACTGGGTACATATATTATGAATAAATGCATATCCAGTAAGGGATTTAGGGAGTGCAAGGCAGAATAAGCAAGTAAAGGAAAGCAGATGTTGCTATTCAGACTCAGTTGGAGGCTCAGGAGCAGGGATTTGCCGAGCCCTGCTGCCTGTGGGTGGCACAGCCTTGCTGTGAAATGGCTACAGAAAGACAGGGTATTTGAAGGAAGCCTCCAGCAGCTTTTCTTTTCAGCCTCCTGTGGCAGCAAATACGTGCATGGTTGGCTCAAGCTGCTCTTGGGCAGGAGAGCAGTTGTGGGGCTGCCAAGCTGCAGTGGGACAATGCCCACAGCCCTTCAGCAGTTAGTGGATCAGACCTGCTTCCATAAGCTGCCTGGGTTACATAATGAGGGAAAGGGCTCGTGCTTGTAGAGGAAGCAGAGATTGTGGCGGAACACGCGCAAAATAAATGCTCAGGAAGGAACAGGCTGTTGTCCATGAGGCAGGGAAGGAGTGGAGACAGATGCGGCCAGATGTCAGGTCCTGGGCTGGGGAGCTGGGGAAGGCTTAAGCTGCATTTGGGCTCCTGCAGGTATTTCCCAGCAAACGGGACAGTGATATGGAAGCCACAATTGTGTGTTCCCTTTGACCTGCCTCATGACCAACCATGAGTCACTGCAGGATGGCAGCTGAGAGGAGGCAAAGGTGTCCTGCTTGGTGCAGTTGGGACACAGCTGGGTCACAATCTCAGTTCCCTATCTGCTTTTCTGGAATCTGGTGGGCCCTCCCTGCTGGTACCCAAGCAGCTGTGTGGATGGGTGTGCCACCTCTCCCAGCCCTTGCTGCTTCCCACTGTACAGAGCTGCCAAACCTGGCGGACGAGCAGGGGCCTTGGGGACAGGGTTGTTTGTGCCAGGCTGGTCAAACATGCAGAGCTGTGAATAATTCAGTGCTGGTTTATCCAGCACAGAGTGAGCCTCCAGCACATCAAAACAGATTCAAAATCCTGTGGGTAGGATCTGGAAAATTGAGCTTGAATAAATAAGCCCACAGACATCCTGTGGCATGAACTTGATGTTTCTGCTTACATAAGAGTTCCTGGTTTACTTCTGGCTTGATTTCAGTCTGCATAACATGTCTGGATCCTTTGGAGAGCCCCTGCTAGAACTGCTGCCTTTGGCTGGGCCTGACGTGGAGCTGTGGATGGATGTGTTTAAGTGCAGCCACTGAATCCAAGGGGGTTGTGTCTCCTTACCCTTTTTTTTTTTTTTTTTTTTTTTTCCCGCAAAATTTCGGGGTACCCCCCCCGC